TCTCCGACAATATTAATTTCAAACATGTCGTACATTAATAATTAATTGTAAACAAAGTCAAACAAAAAATCGTGACAGGTATCCCCTGTCAGGTATCCCAGGTAAGAGGGATACATTCGGTCCCATACATTCGGTGGTTCATTGCCATGGCTTCATCTCTCTGGGGGTCTACTTTGGGAGCACATTTTTAACTCAAATCAACTCTGAACTGTCAACTCTTGCTCAGAAACACACAATTCTATCTGAATTATAATTACAGCTGAAAGCTATATTTAATTTAGCAGATTATCAAACGTGGGGTGCTTCTAATATTAACCAGGGAAGATTCTAACTAAGACTTTGTTCACTCCAAAAATGGCCAGCGACCCAGACCAGGCATCTCGGGGCAGCTGCGGGGAGGCCCATTAGTAGCACTGCAGGGGCCGTCACCAGGGAAGCAGGATGGCTCGGAGGGTTGAGAACGCCTGCCCGCAGCCTGTTCTAGTCTCTCTGTACGCACTGCCTTGGTGCCCCCTTTTACCCCATGGCCTTTGACCCCATCCATACACCCACGGACCCCCTACCTGACCCTGTTCCACCCCCTACTCTGGGCTTCCAACTCAAATACCAACAGCTGCTCTGCTGGCCCAGTAGCCTTTTGAACTGAACGTAGTCAAGACAACTCTTGGGCACGTTGGGCACCTTGTGCCCCTGTCCAGTTAATGGAACCACCATCCACCCACTGAGCTAGACCTGTGAGGTTATCTTGAAGCCTTCCCCTCCTCTCCCTCCTCCTCCCCCACCCAGATGTGACAACGACGGGTCGGGCTTCACTTGTTCACCCTCGGAGTCTGACCACTCCTTCTTCCACCCCACCCTCTCACCTGGATCGCCGGGACAGAGTGTAAGAAGCCCGTCTTTCCCCACTGTAGCCCATTCTCTGTTCAGTGGCTTGGAGAAAGTCCACTGAGATTTTCTCACTCCCTTGCCAAAAACCCTCCAGTGACCCCCTCTGCGCATAAAATACATTTCAGTGGCCTCGCCATTGGATATGAGACGTACATCCCCTGGCCCTTCTCTAGTCCTTGGCCCGGCCTCCTCTTTCTCACCCACATTTGCCGTTGAGCATCCCGCAGTTCTGCACGGCCTGCTGCTCTCCAACCAGGCCGAGCTGCTCCTACCGCAGGACCTTGGCACTTGCTCCTCTCTCTGCCTGGTTCTGCAAACAGCTGCTTCCGCCTCCTCGGTCTGATGGCAGTTCAAACACTCCCTCTCCGTGGAGGTGTTCACTGGTGGCCCATCCAAAACCCTGGCCTGGACCTGCAGGCACAGAGTACCCTCTGCCCTCACCCAGCGCCTGCTCTCTTGATCGTATTTACGACCTTCTGCAATACGTGCTTATAACACACGCAGATAGAATAGTTGTGTTGCTGTTCGCTGGGTAATTGGATGACTCAGCCAGCTAGCACGCTGCGCCAGAGAACAGGGACCTAGCCTTGCTCAGAATCGGAGCCCTCCCTCTCAGGAGGGGCTCCGGGGATGCTTTGAATAATTAAGTGAAGTTGAAAGCTATCACTTACATAAAAATACTCACTCCGTACTTGTACCTACACACTTATCCCTTCTTTTCACAAAGGATTTGAAACAGCATTAACCAAAAAAACACACAATAAAAGTCAAAAATAGTAACCTCACACCAAAGAAAAAAAATTACAGGTGAAAAGAAAAAGTAAGATGGTCCATTCAACACTTTCGAGAGAAAGTAGGAGGGCAGAAGTCACATGTGCCCCAGGGGAGCAGCACTCTTCCTAAGATTGAACCCCGCCGACATCCCCACCCAGCTTCCACGCGGTGATGGGCAGAGTCCACGGAGATGCCATGTGATGGAGCTTTGCAAATGGCAGCCCCTTTGCGGGTGGCCAAGCGCCCGGTTGAGATGCAGTAGAATGAAGGGAAGTCTTTGAGGGGCGGAGTTAGTGTGCTCCAAGGATACAGTGTCCCGTGTCCTGGCCTGAACTGAGAAGTAACAGTCACCTGGAAGGTTCACCGAACACCGCAGTCAGCATTGTTCATTGCTCGGTTACTCCAGTAACTCAGTGAAAAAACCGCACTGGAGAAACGCTGGCCTGACCCCGCCTCTGCTCATGCTGCCCCCCCCCCCCGCCAACGCCCTGCTTGGCCTTCTGCCTGGAGGATGCTCAGTGTGCTCCTCTCCCAAATATTCTCCCACACAGTTTCTCTCCACTACGAAAGCTTAAACCCGGGATACGTTTCCCTTCAGCTCCTTGCACCCCATTCCCTGCTTGGGTACCATCCACCTCTGGTCCCACTTCACTACGACTAGATAAACATTGAGAACTATCACAAGTTGCAACGAAGTTTACCTCCTAAGAACAGAAACACTACATTGTCACCATTACGGAGACTCTATCACGCACCCTGGGACCTGCAGGAGTGGAACCAGGACTCCGAGTGGAGCAGTCAGTGCTGAGAGTTCACGTCACAACAGCTGGCCGGGTGCCATGAGCACGCCTGTGCCCCGATATCATGCCTTAAAAGGCACTCCAGAAAGTCTCCGGGAGCCTCAGGGTGAAGCCGCATCACCGCTCTGGGGCTCCCCACCATAACGCGTGCTCGGGGACCGACGTCCGTGGCAGTGGCAACCACACTGCTGGGCCTGGAAGGCTCCTCGTGCTGTCCCCACTCATCAGTCAACCACCCACAACCTGCCCCCTTTCCCACAGAGGCCCCTGCCCTGCCTCCAGTCAGATTCAAGGGCAAGGTTTCCCTGCTTTTCCCCCATGAGCCTGCTTTCCTGTTCAACATGTCAGAACCAGAGTCTTTCTACAGATTCTCTGCTGTAACATTGGCACAGGAGGAAACACTGACCGGGGTTTACAGGCCCCTCGTCTCTCCTCCCAGCTTCCCTGGGAACCATGACCCAGGTGTGCAGCCCCGCGCAGGGCACCTGGTGCTGAAGGGCAGAGAGAGAAGGCGCGGAAGGGCCCGGCGGTGCCTGGCTGAGCAGCTTTGACAGTTGCAGGGGCAGGGGAGTGAGGACACTGGCCCAGGCACGTGCCCCCAGGAAAAACACGCCCTTTTGTCGTGCACTCGGCTGTCACTGACGATGGAAGCGCTTTGCTGGTTGCTGCTATTCACGAGCTGCCTGCGGCCATGGCCCGAGGACCTCTCTTCCCTGAAACGCTCACCGTTGCGGTCTGCTCGGGGCCCTCCAGCACATCCAGGGTTCTGTAGGTAATGGCACACACTCTGAAAAAGAAATGGTTGTTGCTGCCGTGTTTCTCAACTATCCTCATACCTGCCATTGATAGAAATGGTCTCTCGCATGACAAACACACTATTCTGAGAAGCAAAGTGGCTTCCTCGGTACCAGTCGCCCTGGGTGGGGGGGTCATCCGAAGGACATGGGGTGCCCTCCACCCCACTTCCCTGTCCCAGTAGGCCGCAGAATCCCCAAGCCCCTACCGAAGTCCAAATCTATTTGACATCTTCTAACAACTAGGTTTTAAGTTAGTCTTGAATAAGCAATGGCCGTAGGTACTCACTTCTAGAAAAAGTACCTACAGCCGTCAGCCAGGTCAAGGCAACAGAGAGCCAGGCCAACGCCGAAGATGCCGGCACCCAGGAAGTCACCTGGCTTTTCCCTGTATGGCGTTTGCATAGCCATGGTAGGAAGAAGAAGCAGGTTTATAAAAGAAAACAATCTTCTCCAGACACCTCCCTTCTGAAAATCGATCATTCCAGTGGCCTGTGTGCGGAGCCAAGGGCCCACTCGGAGTCTCCGACTCATTATAATTTTGCCCGTAGGACGAAAGTTGCTCTCAAACTCAAATTTCTCATTACACCCCAACGCCGTGCGAACGACATGACTAATGGTTTTGGGAGGTCTGAAAACATGAACCATTTTTCAAACATAGGGATTGTCCATTTGGAAAAACAAAACAAAACAGGTGCCCACTACCCCCAAATTGCCATTGATGTTTATTCAGTTTGTTTGGGCCGCCATCGCGGGTAAGTTCATACAACCCGTGGGAAACCTTCCTTTGTGTGGCGACTGAGCAGGCCACAGACTGGTTTTGGGCTTGGGCGTGAGGCTGTGAGAAGGAGGGTCCTGAGGGGCCGGGACCGAGCGGGCCTCCTGGGTCCCAGAGCCGGCAGGAGAGTCCGCACTCCTGCTTTTGAGTGGGTTCAGTTCTGTGAGCCGTGGCGAGGGCGCTGCGTGCCGGGCGTGCACCTGGCAACCAGACAGGGGTCCCCCGAGTCCCAGGGCAACAGAGGTCACAGCAGGGAGACCCCATGTGAGGGATGGGGTGGGCTGGGGGTTTGCCTCGGGGTCAGCTCCTTGGTGCAAACCGAAGTTGGAGTCCCAGAGGAGAGTCCTGGTGTCCCAAACTGCTTCTAAAAAGGGAAGTGATGCCAGCTGGCTGGGCTGAGGTGACTCACGGGCACAGGCCCGGGCCAGGCGGCCCACCTTTCCTTCCCCATGTGCGGTTTCGACCACAGGGTGGGTTGGTGGCGAGCCCCTAAATCACAGCTGGGACCACCCTGTCGCTGAGTGATAGGTGGCTCCCTTCCAGGGGGCAAGAAGGGGCCAAACACACTTTTCGTCGCCGCAGTGCCCGTGAGAACTGGTTACCCCATCTGGCCCCCTCACAACGAGCCACGGTGACAGCTATGAGTCAGCAGGCAGCACCAGCCAACAAGGACAGAGAGACAGCAAGACAACAGGCCGCCCCTCAGCAACGTCCCCAAAATGTGCCCTGAGACAGAATTTGCATCATAACCCTCTGAACACAGGAAGCAAAACAGAGGTTTATTTTGCCCGCCGGCTGCCTGGTGGCAAGACAGCCGTGCTGGGCTCGGCCAGACCCCGTCCGCAGCTGGAAGGCCGGGGCCTCGGGAGCCGCTCGGCCGCAGCGCCTGCTTCCCCCACCTCTGTGGCTGGTGGGGCAAGGCCGTGCATTCGCTGCTTTTAGAAATCATACATTCCAGAAAAGAACTGGCATCATAAGGCTTTTATTGGAGCTTCTGCAACTTTGTCTCCGCCTGTACTGTTGGGGATGTTGCCTGTTCTGCCTGCTACGGAGAAAGCACCCATGCCTCTGAGTCGCCCTGATTCGGTGTCGCAGTGAATCCCAAACTGAACTTCCAAGGGTCGCCATCCTTGGCAGACTCAGGAGGAGGCACCGGGTTCCTGGGGGCCCTCGGGTTTCACAGGCTGTCCCGTTAGATGGCATTCCGTCCCGTCCTTGGTCCCGGCGTCTTTGGCTGAATCGTTCACCAGGTTGGCAGTGGAAAGGAGAGAATAACCCCGACTGGGGCGCCATCCAGGCCGCCATCCTGGAACCTCTGTAAGAGAAGGGCAGGTACCAAGTTCAACCGACAGCTCTCACTGCACGTGGCATAAAGGCAGGACTGTAAATACCACAGGGCTCTGACATCCGGGCCAGCTCGAGAGCAGAGTTTGCTGTGACTGGGACCTGCTGACACCTGGGTGTCCTCCATATCATTGACCCAAAGGTGCCTCTTATTATGTTTTAAAAACCTGGAAGTGCCCAGGAGAGATTTGCTGTGCTTGCATTTCGTCACTAGTGTTTGTGTAAACATAATTCTCCTTTCCAGGCCTCCACAGACACGGGATCATGAATAAGGAAATAAAAAATGTCTGTGGTAATGACAGGGTAATAAAAGGCGTAGTGACAGGCCAGGGACAGACAGGTGGGGGCCGGTGGAGGACGGCAGGAACGGGTCCTCGTGATCGCCGAGGTGGGGGCCGCGGTGGTCAACGCGGACGGGCCCTCCAGTCCCTGGGCTCAGTGGGGGAAGGTTCAGGGAGCAAGGGCAGGTTTTAGAAGAGTCCCGGATCTCATGCTCAGGTCATTTAGGGAGAACTCCGCCCCCTGCCTGCTGACAGTCAAGGTGACTGACAGCCTGCAGCCCTGGGCTGGGAGCCCCACCCTCCGCCCCAGACACTGGGGGGCTGTGGGAACAACACCAATACCCAGCACCCACGACGGGCTGCGGGAGCTGGGGGCCGGGCTGTCTCCCTTCCACACAGATGACCCGGAGCAGGTGGTGCAGGTGGCCACAAAGGAAATAGTGGATACGCTTTGAAACTGTGAGCGACTAGACTGTAACAGGTTCAGGTCCTTGACGGTGTGTGTGTGCATGTGTGTGCATGTGTGCACATGTATGCACGTGTATATGCACATGTGTGAGGGATTCTTCTCCATTGCTGGTTTGTAGCTGTTTAGACTTAAACAGCTACAAAGAAATAAATGGCTGGAGAAATCAGAAAAATGTAAAAAATAGATGAGCTCTTGTGATATCTCTAAGAAATACAATCTCATTAATAAAACCAAATTGCTCGGAGACCCAAAGCATTTGAACATTCCAGAACAAATGCCTGTCTAAAAATCAGAGGGTTTTAGGAGCAAGAAGAAACCAGATCTTGTCTGTGCTCACACCCGTCCACTACAGGAGAGGAAACTGAGGCCCCGAGGGTTCCTGCACTTGACCTCAGGCCGCCCAGGGAGCAGTGCAAGGCAGACCTAGGGCGGTGCCCACTCCCAGCCCAGGACGCTCACCTGCATTCTGTGTTTGCCGCTAGCACCCGCCTGTGACCAGGGCCAGAGTACCAGTGGGAGAGGCCCAGACGAGACCAGGCCGCTCTGGGTGGGGTGGCCCAGACCGTGGCGGGAGGCCCAGCAGGACAACACTGTCTCCCCTCAGCAGGTCCCTTCCTGAGCTAGAAGTTCTGCCGTTGGATACCCATCTTGGGGCAAATGCCTTCTCTGGCTGGGCTGCTCCTGAAATGGGAAAGCCCCGCCAGCACAGCCGGGGCAGAGGAGAGGAGCCCCAGCATTCCTGGAGCCACGTCCCCGGGGGACCAGGGCAGGGGGTGCAGGGTCCCACTGGGGAAGGGCCCCAGAAGGCGCGCCGAGGCAGGGGGAGCAGAGTGAGGTCTCTGGGCCCTGCCTTTGTGGCTCTGCTCCCCCCCCACCCATGAGCCCGGAAATGGGCAGCAAGTTCAACATCATCGTTCACAAACTTCAGGTGCATATTTTTTAATATCATTTATCATGTAATATTTATCATCTTAAAACTGACATCTCAGTTTGCAGGAGTCTGCTCTGGAAAGCCTTTCTGTTGGTCCCCCCCAAAAATACGACCAGAATCAGGAGCCCAGAAGAGAAGTAAAGCTGGTGGAGGGGCCGGGTGGGAAGAGAAGGCTCCGAAATGGCTTCTCACGGCAGGAAAGGGGCACAACAGCAATGAAAACGAGTAGCCCCCGCAAAGCAGAACTTGGCACTCCAGCCCAGAAACAGCCCTACAAGCTGCCCCGCTGCTGTGTGTTGCTGGGGACAGTGGACAGGCAGCGACTGTTTGGCAGGACTGGCACCGCTCTGTCAGTGTGCAGCCCGGGGCCCAGGGAAGGCGGCGGGCTCTCGCCTCCAGGTTGTTCTCAAGGAGCAGGTGAGCTGCGTGTGGCTTCCCAGTGAGTCTGAGGTGGTTTAAGTAGCAACTAGAATTGATCCAAGTTGCCCAGGGAGAGCAAGGCTGTTCTGGAACTTTCCACTGTGCAGAACCCTCCCACCTCTGCTGGGCAGGTGCCTTCTTACTCCCCCTCCACATCCTGAGGCTGGCAGTGCGTTTAAGAAGAAAGACAGTTACCAGTTAGTACAACGCCCCTGAACTCGGTCCCACCTGCCGCCTGCCGAAGCCTCTGAGGCCTGACGTAGGGCAGCGCGGGTCTCCAGCCTCACTCCTGACGTCTGCTGTTCTCTCAGCGCCTACCCCCCTCGTCAGACTGTTCGATCATGCCAACCACAGGCGTCCCAAGGCAGCTTCTCCTCACCTGTCAGAATGGGTCTTGTGCAGCACAGAAGAAAGAACCTGCCCCGCTGAGGAGTTCACAGTTAACCTGGACTTGACCTTCCTCAACCGCAGGTCCATGGCAAAGTCACCTGCAGGGGCACGTCTCCAGAAGACTACAGTTTGCCTGGTGCTGCTTTTACATGCCACACACACACATTGGAAACCGCCCCTTGGCGTGGCTCAGGGAAAGGGCCTGGACGGGAGGGAAGGGGCTGGGACCTAGGTCCTGGAGGACAGGCCCAGCCTGGGTAACACACCTGTCTGGGCTTGTGTCTGAGGATGCCACAGGGATCCCCGACAAGCAGGCAGTGACCAGAATCCAGGGGCCCAGGATTCCGTGCCCAGGAAGTGCCTGAGGAGCCATGGCCACTCAGGTGTTCGCCGCCAGGCACTGGACATGGTCCTCCGGCCAGGAGGAGGTCTGGGCCCTGGGCGGGAGGGATAGTGCACCTAACCAAGGAGTAAACAAAGGCCGAAGGTCATCCGCGGAAGGAAGGCCTAAGACTTGGGAGCAACCCGATCCCCTGGGAATGATCTCCAATAACACCAGGTCATGACTCATTGAAACCAAGGAGGCAAAGATCATACAAAAGTTTTAATTTTAAATGATTGAGTCCGTCGCTACAGTATTAGCTCTGTGGCTTCCTCAAATGTTTCGGTTCTTTAAAAGTTACCATCCGGGGGGAGTGGTGGGGGCACGACAACTGGACTTGCACAGCAATCAAAAGAAATGTGAAACAGAAAAAATAAACAGTGAAGGAAAAGGGTAAAAAAAGCTGCGATCCTTCCAGAGACTTGTGTACTGTGCATTTTAGCTTCCACTAATTTTTCTATGAATTTTTAACCATATTTGACTTTAATTTTCCTTTAGTACACAAGATGCGTATCTAAATTAATTTTTCTCTAATGTGCTATATCTCAAAATCGTATGTCAATTAATCCTCCCCCGCTGTTTTGTAACGCTCGCCTTACCGTATATTAAATTCCTGCTCATAATTCAGTCTGTTCGCATTCTCTCAGCGAAGGCACACTGAGTCCTCGCTGAGTGGCGGGCGCTGTTCTGGGTGCTGGAGACACCGACGTGAGCGGTGAAATGGCGGGGCCGTTTTCGTAGGGGGAGGCCACCACCAAACAAACAAACAGTGTGACGTCTCAGATGACGGGAACTTTTCTGGGGAAAAGTAAAACAGAGAAGGAGAACAGAGAGTTCCAGCCAGGACAGGTGAGGCGCCGTGTAAAGTTGGGGCGATCAGGGAGACCTCACCAAGGTGGGGACATGATGGGCGGGCGTGTGAGGAACCGTGTCCAGGTGGCAGACCGCGTCCAGGTGGCAGACCGCAGGGTGAGGAGCAGGCAGTTGTCGTCCCCTGGACGGTAACTTTTAAAGAACCAAAGCGATCAAAGAAACCACAAAGCTGATAGCCACAGACTCGATCATTTGAAAATTAAAACTTTTGCCCTGAGGCGGGGGCAGGTGGGTGCGCTGGCGGAGGCCAGTGGGGCTGGAAAAGGTGAGGAGGAACAGGGTAGGAGAGGGGGTAGGGGTGGAGGGAGGTGGTCTGCAGGCCAGCGAGGCGGGTCTGTCCAGACGCTGACCCTTACCCTGTAGGAAGTGGTGGGCTGGTTGTCTGGGGAAGCTGTAACAAGTGGCCACAACTGGGCAACTACAACAGAAATAGATCCTCTCACAATGGCAGAGGCCGAGAGTCGGAAATCAAAGTCTTATCCACGTTGGTTCCTTCCGGAGCATCTGCCCCCCACCTCCCTCCCAACTCCTGGAGGTGCAGGCGGTCCCTGTGTCCTCAGCTGGCAGGTGCCTCACTCCAGACCCCACTGCCAGGTCAGGCAGCTTCTGTCCTCTGTGTCCCTTAGTGTCTTTTGCTCGTCCGTCCCCTCTAAAGGACCCTGGCCATTGGACTAGGGCCCACCTCAGACCCTGGGCGGCCCTCCATCCAGACCCTGCACTTGATTACATCTGCATAGATGGGCTCAATTCACCTGCATAGGTGTGGGGCTTGGGCCTTGGACACACCTTTCAGGGAGACACAATTCAACCCCTGCAGCTGGGCAGCCATTGGAGGGTCTTTGAATCCAACAGTGGAAAGATCTGAAATGCGTGAGACTCTGTGTGGTCAGGGGTGAGAGGTCAGGGCAGACGCTGACAGCAGCCAGGAGACCACCCTGGCTGTCCAGGTAAGAGACCTGTAGAGCTGGGAGGCGTGGTCAAACCGAGGCCCCTGACCTAGGAGGTTGGTGCCGACCCCTCGGTCAGCTCCACAGACTCCAGCCACCCTTCTGACCACTGCCAAACTCCGTCAATTGCTCTGTCTCCATTTTTCTGGATTCTTCCTTTTCCAGGTCAGACTGTATAACCCTATTCAATTGCCAGACATCATGATCTTTCGTCTCCTCCTTCAGGGGTACATGCATAAGTTTGTGGGTGGATGGATCAAGAGACAGACTTGTGTCTGCCATTTTGTTCTTCTTTTATTTTCCTTGTAAAGGTTTTTTAAATTCTTTATAGCAACCCCATGTGCTTCAGTGGGTATCTCCCCAAGGGCTTCCTGTACAGGGGAAGGGTCGACGCTGTGATCAGGGTCTGTATCGGTATTATGTTTGCTTGTGGCTGCAGAGAGCAGGCAAGGCTATTAATTTTGGTGTGTTTATTTCAAATCTAGCATTTTATGGAGTCACTTTATTAAGCATTATTATTTTTGGTGGTTCCTCGGCATATTCTGGTTTTCCATTATGTTAAGTACAAACAATGATCTCTTCTCTCTCACATTATCATACCTCTTTATTTCGCCACGTCTCATTGCATTAACCAGAGATTTCAGGAGGCCATTAAGGAACCATCCTTGTTCCAATTTTTAAGCAGAATTTAATTCGTCTATCCGTTGAACACAGTACAGGCTCTTGTTTTTTCCCCAACTTTGCTGCGGTGGAGGGATAGCTTCCATTTCGAATATTTTAATCTTTCTAGGAATGTTGTGGACATGGTTTTCATTTTAATTGGGCCTATTGATATTGTGGATTGGATTGGGAAGTGCCGTTATGTCAAATTCTTCTTGCATTGTACCCTCACACAACGGACTCCACTGTACTGACTCAGAAAGATTTCAGGGTGCTCATTTTTGCGTTTCTCCATTCCTTTGTATAATTGGGGATCCGCTTTATTTTGGTGACACGCTCATTAATATCAATACTCTGATATCATGTTACAGTATTCACAGTAATTATGGCACCTTGGCAGAGGACCTTGGAGGAAGGCCTACCAGTTATTTTTATAACACTTCGGGAAAAATCACTAGCTCTCGGCATTAACATCGTTATCGTAGGGATGCCTTGAAGAGAAGCCTCTGATACTTCCTGATGCCTGGGTGTCGCACAGAGCAGGTCTGTCTCCCAGGGACCAAGGACACCTCGCGGGCTGAACCGGACTTCGCAGTTTCAAAGCCGCCTCCACCAGGACTGCCACAGAGCAAAGCTATGCCCACTTCTACAAATGAGGATCCAACCCTGAAAAGATCGTGCATTTGCATTAGGTCGACCAACCAGCCAAGACAGGTGAAGACAGAACCTGAACTTGACCTCAGAACTGAGGCTCTGGCGCACCCCCAGCAGGAAGTTAGCGTTTTCCACATTAAAGGCATGCCCTGCGGCTGGCGGCTGGCGGGGAGGCTGGAACAGCACCTTCTCGGGGGAGAGAGGGAGAAGGGCCCCCGAAATCCCAGGCTCCTGGGGCCACTTTCCAGCCATCATCCTGTTCACCTCTGCCGCGTATTGCTCCTTTAACCTGCAGGCCTGTGAGCTGTGTCCCTGTGCCCCTGTGCCCTCTGATCTGTCACCTGGAGATGCCCTCAGCCACGGTCCCACGCTGATTTTAGCACCTGGTCCACAAGCCTCCTTTCCACCCAAGGCCCCCACTGTCTCAGGTGCTTTGGACGGGAGGACCATCCAAGGCTGTTCCTCCTGCTCCCCCAGCCTCTCAGCCCTCCTGGTTGCGCTGACGTCACTTGGAACCTGAGGAGCCCCTCTCTCTGCCACATTCACTCTCCCCTGACCTCCCTCATCAGCTTCCATGGAGTCCTGCCTGCCCTGGCCCTTCCCACCTGGGCAGGCTCCTGCCTTGTCATCCGCACCCTATGTCAGTGGCCTCCCAACGGTCTCCCAGGGGTGGGGGAGGCGGCAGGGAAGCCGGGGAGGAAGGAGAAGCAGAAACCCCTGAGCATGTGTGTCCTGCCCGGGTCCCGCCGCTGGAGGACAGACCCCAGTGGCAGGTTGGAAGAGGGCCTTGCCTCAGTGTTTTCGATGAACAGGCTCCCTCGGTCCACGGGAGAACAGCCTCCCTGAACTTTGATGTCCTCCGAGAGCCTGGCCTGGCTCCCTTAGCCCGATGTCCCAGGAGCATAGCCTGGCTCCGCCCTGCTCTCCAAGTTAAGCTCATTTCCCAGCCCTGTCTCCCTTGGGGACCCTGCGTGGCATCTGGCAGTCCCCTGCACTTCCACGGCACTTGGCTTCCTGCCATCCCGGCCCCCATCCAGAACCTGGGCGGGGGACCCCTTGGCCGGCACTTCCCTGGGTCTGGGCTCTGTCTCCATCTGGGCCTGGCCTTTCGCCTCTGGCGCCACCCCATTTCCTGCCGTGGGGAGCCCTCTTCAGCCCCCACGTTGGTCCAAACCGGTTTGGTCTCTACTGGCCTTCACAACCAGAACAAAAGCTGGTTAGTCTAACCCTGCAACCATTCCAAGTTCAGGCTTAAACGCAGAGATTTTTCTGCTTCTTCCACCCACAGCTCAGCAACTGTATTTCCACCGCTATTGTTATTCTATTTCTGTTCCTAATTGCCATTGTAGAAAACCGAGGCTTCCAGAGTTGCCAATCGGTGAGCTCCCTTCAAATGTAAATGCGTTATGCAAATGGCCTCAGAGGCTGAGAGCGGGATTCTGCGGTCTTCCCGGGATGGAGGAAGCTTTCTGGTGGGAAGGCTGAGAAAGGGGAGACAGCCCGCTCCCTCCTGATGTAAATGCGCGCTGTTCAGAGATGGTTTCCTGTCTCCAACTTCCCCTCCTGCTCCGTCAGCTGAATTTAAACTACTTGCTGCACAGGCTGCTTCTTGGGGGCACCGCCACTTAACCAGTTGGTGACCACTCCCTGGGGACAGGAGTCTGCCAGCCGAACCCCCTTCCCAGAGGGGCTCCGGTTGCTGTCCACAAGATAGAGCTGTTGGAATCTAGGAACCTCATTTAAAATATGGAAAGTCACCCTCTAAATGAGGTACCGAAGGGGATCAGACGCTGTGTTGTCAGAAAACCTGAACACGTCGGCCCTGGTGGAAATGACGCTCTGCCAGAGCAGAGTGACGGGCCTTTGAAAAGCCGCGGCAAGAGTCCATGAAGATGCTCTCTGCCCTGGACGCGCCTGACTTGGGAGCTCTGGTCCCTTCCCCAGAAGCTCCTGCCTCCTTCCGGTCCTCTTCAGGGCTCTCTGCCTCTCTGTGCCCGGCTGCCCTGTCTGCCTCTCGATGGCCTTTACCCTTTGCCCTTTTCCCTCCCCCTGGCCTCCCTCCCCCCATCTAGCTTGGCATGCTCCCTCTGTTGTCTCCCTGCACCCATCTCCCCTGCCTCCATCATCCTCAGCTGCAGTGAGGCCCAAGGGTCCCAGCTTCTGCATTCGTGACCCCGTTGGGTACTCGACTTGGTGGGTACTCCACTCGGTACACACTCTTCCGAGTACTTGACTGTGTGATTCATTGGCCTTCTTTGAATTTACCAGTAGCTTCTCTATTGAGTGCTGTATACTGCTGACATTTCCAAAATGTGGGGGGGAAGTAACCACAAATGTACAGAAATGCATTCTGTACCTCCTACGAGAGTAACTTCTAAACTCGAAGCAGAGACAAAGCAGAGGAGGGTGGGGACACTCGGCTGTTCGGCTGTTCGTCTCTCGTTCCTCGCAGTGGCGTTCGTGTTCCGAGTCCTTCCGAACCTCTTCCCTGGGGTATCATTTCTGTTCCAAAGGCCTAAAGATACTTGGAAGTGCAGTGAGCTTATTTAGGAGGAGGGGATGACGTGGTCCTCTGCCCGCCTCGCAGGGTCACTGGGGGGCTAGCAGTTTGTGCCTTCAGTACAGTGGGAAGGCCTTGCAACTTCCCAGCAGGACGAGACCTCCCAATCCAAGAGCATCACTCTGATCTCCCCGCCTCCAACCTACTCCTCGTCCTTCTGGTTCAATGACGGACTGCAGATTGGCAGGTGTTTGCAGACAGGATGTAGTCTGGTCACTCTGGCCTCGGCATATGGCCTCTCCCCTGTTCTGGTCTTCACCACATTTTTGTCAGGCAGTTTGCCCCAGACTGTGAAGAACGAAAACATTCACACGCCCAAACTTCAAGGGTTGGCTTTCCTCCTTTGCCCCTGGAGCCAGGTCCTTTTGTCCCCTCCGAGCTCTGTGGGGCACTGCGACCCGTGACTTGCGTTGGTCCAAGGCCCTGAGGAGCCCAAGGAGAATTCCGCCAGTCTGTGAGCAGCCTGGGCTCACGAGACAGCGACTTCGCTCCCTGAGGTTGACCTCAGTTGGCAAGAGCCCCCCACCCACCACACACACACACTGGCTCCCTCCGTGGGGGGCGGGGTGCACCTGCTGCATCCTTCTGTGCACGGGGACCCAGGGGCCTGGACCAGAGCCCCGCTCCTGAGAAAGGGCCACTGAAAGTGCCATTGTCTTCAGGAACCTGTCACTTTGCAGGCCCTTCTCACCAGGCTCACAAAAGCTCTTTGATCACTCCCCGGACAGGCAGAAAAACCGAGGGCCATGTTCTCGCAGGAGGACGTTCTCACAGTATTTTCCCGGTGATATCTGGAACTAAAGTCCCAGAGTAAGGTTAAAAACGACATTCTCCCTGAAACAATTTATGAAAAGCCTATTACCCAGCAATTTCATATTTGAATGCAATTATGTTAATGTTATTAGTACATCGTGAATGGTACTAATATGATTATTGTTTTGTGTGGTTGTATTACAGGAAATTAATTTAAATGGATTTACATATTTGCAGAGAAGGGGCACCGCTCACAGGGACAGATAAGGCTGACAGGACTTGGAAACAGCAGTGGACACTGAGAGAAAGCAAGGCGGTGACTTCATTTGCGACACTAATGCTTATGTGCCAGTACTGGGTGGAGGGGGGTGTTCATGTCAACAGTTTGCTATTTCAGAAGCGGGTTCCCCGTTTAAAGGAGCAATCTGAATTAAACCCCCGCCCCGCTCCGAGGGGCTCTTTAGCTCCGGGTCCTGAGTTGTGGGAGTTCAAGACGGAGGGAAGGAGATGAGGAGACCATACCCCGTCTCTCGGGCAGCTCCGAGTTCGCCGGGGAATGCTGCTTTTTACCTCGAGTCATTTGGAGTTCTCCTTGAATCAGACTGGGCCTCTGAAATTCTCCCTCCCAGGACTTCGTGAAAGGCAATGCCTCCCAGAGAATCGGAGCTTGTTTCTGTGTCCGCGGGGCCGCCTCCGTCACAGGCCCCCTTTCTGTGCGGCCCCTTTGCATTCAAGGGAGGAGAGGCCCTCATATTCCTCGGGCAGAACTGGCTGCGGGGGCCAGATGCAGGTGGGAAGCAGGGTCCCTCACTCAGCTGGCTGCACAAGACCCTCTGTGCACTTGACCGGTGCACACAGTCTGTGTCCAGCTTGTTTAAGGGCAAGGCAAAGGGCACTGGGGGTGCTGGGCAATAGCTGCCTGGGGTGAGATTTGGGCTGGGCTTTGGGCTGGGCCTGGACAGATAGGCACACAGGCCGATAAGGAGACAGGGCAAGCTCGGGCAAGCTCGGGTGCAGCTGGCAGAGGGGGTGGGTATATGAGGCACATCCAAGGGGAACAAGCCGGGGTAAGAGTAGGTGGTGACAAATTGCAGATGACCTATGGACTAGTGGGGGGGGAGGGGTTGCTGCAGGCTCTCAAATGCATAAAATTAACACAGAGAAAAGCTGCCTTTGGGAAAATGAAGCTGGCAGCTGGTGGAAGGTATTGGGGAAGGAGGAAGCAGGATTAGGAAACAAGTGTCTTTGGCACGTTCTCTGGGCCTGGGGTGATAAGGGCCTGGCCAGCCTGGAGTCAAGGCCACTGACCCAGGCCAGGGGACAGTATCTCATCTGATGAAATGTCTGCATTTCTCTGGTAACAAGTGCTAAGGATTGGTGATTTACTTTTAAACTGGAAGTTCCTCAAGAACCAGTTTCCTGACTTACGTATCTGTGTATCTCCAGCACAAAGTAGATATCAGGCTCCCAGCAAGTGTTTGCTGAAGAATGAATGAATGAATGCATTCCTGCAGGTGTGTGAGTGCATGGGCTACAGCTCAGGGCTGGTGGGGATGGGTCCCCAACCACAGGTCTCGGGCATCCGGAGAACAAGCGGGGGAAGGAGCCATCTGGGGCTTTGTCCTGGTGCTCAGCACCTGCATCTCTGCGCACAGGGCACAGCTGGTCTGCACTCTAAGCCACAGGCGGACAGGTGCAGGCGTGTCCCTGGGCCTGGCAGGGACCGCAGGCTTCCTTTATGGGGGGATGGCAGTGGTGGGCAGTGGCCGCTTCTCCCCCAGTGCAGCTGAGGACCCTCTTTCAGCCCATGAGCATTTTTTAAAATAGCCTGAATAAATGTAATAAACAGTCTCCCAGCACAAAACAAAATGGAAGTGATAACACTAATTCTTCCTTTTCATGATTGTTGGGAGAATTAAATGAGTTTATAGATATAAACATTGAGGGTAGGCAGTGATGTGTAAGAAGCATATGTAAGTATTAGCTGTTGTTATTATATGATTGTTAGTAACCTAACAAGTTGCTCTCCCCTTAACTCTAAATATTTTCATCCTCAGTCTAGGCCAAATAAACATAGTAATTCCTTTTTTTCCCCCTGCAGTGCAAGCTTTCTTACTTTTTTCTTAAAACCACTGATTTTTTAAGTAGCTAGTTGGTATGTTGGTGATTAAGTTTAAATATTCCACCAGGGTTTTATTTCAGTGGTTAAAAAAAAACACCTAAATTTTTATAATTAGCATTTATCATAATAGAGTGTTTCTCAATTCTGATTTAAAGATTATCAGGATATTTTGAATACTATACAATTCACTTCTGGAAATAATCATTTGATCCATAAATTTGAATTGATATTAGTGTATCTGTAATTATTCAGCACTAAAATTATTCTGTCATCCTTTTCCAATTATCTTTTTATGAAAAAAGTAATATACCAATTTCTATATTCCTTTTTGTTTAATTGAATTAAGCAGTTCGTTTTGATTACAATATTCTAAAACCATTATAAAATTAACATCTTACATATTTCATATTGGTGAATGTTTTTTACCTATGCTATCCAGATGCCTAGAAATATCAATCATGAGCTTTATAAGTGGGGAATGAAAATGGGTCCATTCTACTCGTTCAGAACAGCGGGTTAAAAAATACTATCAGATCAGAATATAGATTTAGCTGTTAGAGATTATAGGTAAATTTAATCCTGGTAAGTAGGCTATCTTCTAAAGAGGAATACCATAGTTCAGGAATTCAACGCAATGTGAGTGGAAGGGTGACTGGGTCAGGTCAGCGTTTCACAACTTTGCTCTTCGACAAGAAGGTATGGAGCAAGTCCCTTGTGTCCTTTCTGTGAGACAAACTAAGTGCTGCGGTCAGTGTTGTAAGGACAGGATGGGACTTGAGGGAAATGAGTTGGCTGGCTGCCTGGGAGAAGTCAGAGGGGCCCCGGGGCCAGGGGCGGGGCCAGCGCAGGACCAGCCCTGGGATCTGGAGCGCAACCTGCAGCCTCCTCCCCGTCGCGTACTCACCCGACCTGAGCCCCTACAATAGGGTTTAGGTTTAAAGAGAAAGTGTCTGTCCTGTGCAAGGCTGACCCAGAGGTCAGAGATCACGCAAGTCAGAAAAAATAGAGGGTGCCGATGACCGCGCCACCCCTGCAGGCGTCTACTGGGGACCTTGGAGAGGCGGGAGGGTGTGGCAGATGAATTGCTACATTAGTCTCTAGTGAACAACACAGCCATGCCACAACCACAGACCTTACGGAGTCATTGCCACAGCAAGTCCAGGGACAACCTGTCACCGCCTATTGTCACTATGATATCGTCGACTGACTGTGCTCCCTAAACTGCACGTGATGTCCCTGTGACGTGTTTTATAACTGGAAGTTGGTGTTTCTTAATCCTCTTCTTTCCGCCCCTCCCTCCGCCCCGCTCCCATCTGGCAACCAGCAGTCTGCTCTCTGTGTGTGTGAGACTTCGTTTCTGGTTTTGTTGTTTGTTCGTTTGTTTCGTCTTTCAGATTCCACATATAAGTGGAATCATGAGACTTCTCTTTCTTTGACTTATTTCACTTAACATTATACCCTCTCTCTTTATAGATGTGCCACCTCTGTATCCACCCGTGTCGATGGTCACTTAGTTGCTTCTGTGTGTGTGTGTGTTTTCGCTATTGTAAGTAATGTTGCAATGAACACAGGGGTGCACGTATCTTTCGATTTCTTATTTTCCATGGATAACTACCCAGAAATGGAATTTCTGGGTTGCACAGTAGTTGTTTTTAATTTTTGATGAATCACCATTCTGGTTTCCACCGTGGCCGCCCAATTTCTACCCCCACCAACCGTGTGCAAGGGTTCCGTTTTCTCCATGTCCTCGCCACTTGCTGTCTCTTTGCTGATCGCCATTGTGACAGGTGTAAAGTGACGTCTCATCGTGGTTTTGATTTGCATTTCCCTGGTGACCACGGATGTTGAACACCTTTTCATGTGTCTGTTGGCCATGCCAACAGTTTTCACTTTTTATGCACAAAGAACTTAACTGTTACAATTCAACGCTGCCAAGAACCTTCACCTCACAAAGTGAATGGGCCAGTAGGAGGCTTTTATAAATCTTAAAAACAATGATTTGCCCTGGCCAGTGTGGCTCTGTGGGTCGGAGCATCGTCTGGTAGAACAAAAGATTGTGGATTCAATTCCTGATCAGGGCACGTCCCCAGGTTGTGAGTTCAGTCTCCACTTGGGCGTGTATTAGAAGGTGATCAATTGATGCTTCTCTCTCTCACTTTCTCTCTCCAAGTAATGAAAAAGTGTCCTTGGGTAAGGGTAAAAAGCAAACAAATAAATTAAAAAATGGTAATTCAGATATTCACATGGAAGAATAAATGGTTGAGAAAAACTAGCACGTATTGAGAAAATAAAGAGAAAACGATGGGACATTTGCTCTATTAGATATTAGAATAATAGTGAATAAAAGTCTGTGGCCTGATAGTAGTGTAGCTAGACCAGAGTACCAGAAACAAACCCGAGAGTGCGTTAAAAGCACTTAGCATGTCACAAGCATGGCCCTCCGAACCGGTGGGAGAATGACGGATGACCTCGTACAGGGTTACAGCCAGCCCAGCGGGCTAACTCCACGGGAGATTTCTCCTAATGGTAAGGCCCACGTCATACCATCTCTAAAATCTACAGGTACAGATCCCTTTAAAAATTAAATGTAAACTATAAACTGGAACTGCTAAAAAAAAAAGTCAAAACCTGTCACGGGCAAATAGAACATCAAAGAGAGAAACTATAAAAGAAAAAGTAGATTTGATTATATAAAAATGAAAAACAAAACACCGCAAATATTTTCAAAGTATATTTTACTGATTGTGCTATTACAGTTTTCCCATTTTTTTCTCCCTCGATTCCCTTCTGCCCTGCATCCCCTCCCTTAGTTCATGTCCATGGGTCGTACATGTAAGTTCTTGGGCTTCTCCATTTCCTATACTATTCTCACCTCTCCCTGTCCATTTTGTAACTACCATTTATGCTTCTTATTCCCTGTACCTTTTATCCTAAAAAAAACCCCCACAAATAAAAATACAATACAAAGGACATGAGAGTGACCATTCCACTGAGCATCCCCAACAGAAAATGTTATGAAATTCCCAGAACCAGGTCAGTCAATCATTTAATTTTTCTTCTGAAAATGAGCCGTAGCTAAATGGGACTTCCCAATTCACGTTTATAAAGGAATGTGCCTGATTCATTTGCGACTTTATTTTTCTACTTAAATCGTTAGTCCACTTGGAACTTAACCTGGTACAAAGTATGCAACGTGGCTCCAGATCAAAGTTTTTCAAATGGCTACGCAGTTGACCCAACAATATTTATGATATTTATTATATTAGTTAGTCTGTGTTTTAACTCCTGGTTTGAGATGATGCCTTATATAACCCAAATTCCTGTGTGCATTTATGTGCCGACACCTGTATATTTTAATATCTGTTACTTCTTACCTGCCTCCCCCACACACACCAGCTGCCGGTCTTTCAAAGAGGGTTCTTGTAGTCACTGCCTGTGCATTTCCACATAGGAAATGTAGGCTCACTGTGTCTAATTAAAATGAAAAACCTATTGGCATTCCTGTTGGAATGTCTTGAAATTTAAAAAATAAACTTCAGCAGGGCTGACGTCTCCCTGATGGCCAGTTTTCCGAATCCCAGAATGTGGTGGGGCTTTCACACGTTCCTGACTTTTGGGTCCCTATTAGCGTATTCGAGTTTTCTTCACATGGGTCATCTAACAGCTGCCGAAGTTTGCATATAAATTTTCAACCCCGCCACTTCATTGATTCTGCTTCTTCAGTTGATTCTTTTGGGTTTTCCAGGTG